GGAATGAACATTGGCCGTTATTTATGAGGACGGGCTGGTTGATGAGGACAGGCTGGTACGTGAATGAAGGATTCAGAGGTGCGATTCGAGCAGAGGATGTGAACTAAGCATTGTTCGAGAAAAGTAGATAGTTATTAATCGTGAGTCGTGTGTAAACCGTTTTTCATTCATAGACACAGGGTTTGGCGACTGGATTAACGAGTGTTTGGCCTTTGTTGACGAGGACCGGTTATGAGTAAAAGGATTGTATATTGGCGAGACAGGAACGACTCTTTGTAAACCTGTTTTGGGTGTCTCTTATCAACCTGTAATTTTCTAGGTGATTTCTTATAAAATCTGTAATTATTGCTTCCAGAAACTTTCCCACGATCATTGTCAAACTTACTGGTTGTTAATTCGCAGCAAAAGTGGCCTCCCTTGACAACTACCCACACAATCACACACTCCCCACACATAGCCTCACCCCACCGCAGACACCCACACTTCATACACACCAACATTTCATACATACGCTAACGCCCAGCACACAAATACACACCCACACGCTCACCCACCCACACGCACACCCACCCACACGCACACCCACCCACACTCACACGCACACCCACCCACAAAAAAAGCACGAGCTTTTTCGAACTTAACAATTTAATATCAAGCGTCAGGCCGCAAGCAGTATCTCTCCTGCATGCTCTTCCATGGGGTAACAAGGTCTCTTCAGACGGCCCCACGACCTATCCTAACTATGAATAAGGGTCTTGATGCCGTGTGACGTGCAGGATGAGATTTTACCACCTGCAACGAAAATATAATTGATACTGTGTACCTGACTCCCCGGGCCTGGCCCGCAATGAATGGATGAACGTATAAGGCTCGACCACTCCTGCCTTTCACCATTGAGCTGAACTCGGTCTGCATTTATTTCTTCATATTATTACTTTAGTAAAGTTGAATTAACATTTCTATGGGTTTTTTGACTCCTTGGTTCACCTTCCGATTGACACTATAGTCGTAGCCTCGGCCTAATCAACAGTGCATGGCTGATAATTGAGAAGACAAAGCAAATGGGCAACCATGGCAATGAATGAGGGGCTTGGCTCACCCGTAGACATAAGGTCTTAAAGCCGCGACATACATCACGGTATTTTGTTGTGGGTGTGACTGCTCGTGTACGCTAACGTTTGTCTGGGGACTAGCAAGTTTGGTAGATGCTTTGACGCCAAATTAGGATTAGAATTGGCTGTCTTAGAGCCGATGGCGTGGACGATAACTCAGATTGTAATCGCAAGAGGCGAGGAGAGACATGGCGGCTGTGACTCCTTCGATGTTGTTGGCTAGAACATCATCATTTTATCTGGAATGGCTTTAGTCTGGCGCAGTTTTAAGATAATCAGAAATTCTTGCAGCGTGATCTCAGGGGTTAAAGAGCATTTAGGGTTTGTCTGAGTAAATGTGGAGACTTAATTCCTGGTTAAGCACGGAAAGAATGAACGAAAAACACAAGAAAACAAGGAAAATATGTACAATAATTTTGGATAAACAGTACTCATAAGCGCAAAGTCATTTAATTTGATTTTATTTAATCTGTATATATAATACTGTTTTCAATTGATATCTAAATATAATTATACTAGAAACTATGAGAATTTGCTGGACTTTTGACAACTTTATTACTTCAAATTTCATTTCGGCTCTTTCTCACTCTTGTAAACCTGTCACTCGACGAATTGTTGTTTCCCATTTAACTATTTCTAGTATTCATAATATGGAATTAATGATTTAAAAATACTATAATTTATTTAATTTAAATTTTTATCAGTAACAGAACAGATCTAATATATAATTATCGTCGCCGGGGACAGGAAGCCTGTGTACTTTTAAGGTATACCTAGGTCAAAAGTGGCACAACTATGGCATTCGTGCCCACATTGGCACGCGAGCCAATTTTTTGGGCACACGGTAACAGAGCTGCCCCTTAATTCTTTAAACCTTATCCATAATAATAAATACATATATAAAGATTATCATTACTGCCAAATGAAACAGCGAGAAATCTTGAAATTCATGAGAAAAGACATTAAGAGCCTTCAATTTAAATTTTTTAGCATCATTAATTCAACTGTTGATAAATTTTCTTGTTAAATTCAAGTCATTTGAGGAAATTGCAAAATTCATAGTGTGCAGATGGTGTAACATTAGACAAACTGAATTTGGAAATGTTGCAGTAAATGGATTTGGATAATTTTGAGAAACTTGGTGGATTTAAAAAGCAGCTGAATTTGGAGGCAAAAATTTGGCGACGTAAGAGCTGAACTAGAAAATATTGAAAAATATCAGTGACTGGAATAATGTAGAAAATTGCAGAAAATTAGTTTTTAAAAATGGAATTTCATTTCTGAAACCTTGACTACCTCGGATTTATTAATCGCAGCGTTAGTAACAAGACACCTGGTGTGGTTCTCTAGCTATATCTTGCTCTAGTTAGGCCCCATTTAGATTATGCAGTTCAGTTTTGGTCGCCATATTATAGAATGGATATAAATTCACTTGAACGTGTCCAGCGTAGGATGACTAAGGTAATTCCCCAAATTAGAAATCTTTCATATGAAAAAAGATTAACAAAGCTTAAGTTGCATTCACTGGAAAGGCGAAGAGTTAGGGGTGACATGATAGAGGTTTACAAGTGGGTGAATGGACATAACAAAGAGGATTTTAATAGGGTAATAAAAGTATCAACACAAGACAGAACACGAAACAATGGATATAAATTGGATAAGTTTAGATTTAGGAAAGACTTGGGTAAATATTGGTTCAGTAACAGGGTTGTTGATTTGTGGAACCAATTGCCGCGTAACATTGTGGAGGTGGGGTCCCTGGATTGTTTCAAGCACGGGTTGGACATGTATATGAGTGGGATTGGATGGTTATAAATAGGAGCTGCCTCGTATGGGCCAATAGGCCTTTTGCAGTTGCCTTTGTTCTTATGTTCTTACCTGAAAAAATCTGGCATGGCAGTATTAACAGAATTTTCCTCGAGTGATGAAACTAGTGGTGAGTGCATAGCTCTCAATACAAACTTGATATATATCGTCGTTAGCGCGGCAGAAAGTCTTAGGGTAAAATAACCTGATTTTTCTTTCTTATAGTTTTGCTTTATAATATGAATCAAAGCTTATAATTTCTCGTTGTTGTTGCCTATAAGATAAAGATAATATAAGATGTTTATTCAGGTAAAGGTACAAAGGTACTGCTCGACAAACAGCGCACACTACGCTTGATTAATCTTTGTATGTACCCTGTTTAACCTTCTCCTTCATGTCTACCAATATATACCCCATGATATTGGAGGTACTATAATAAGCTGGATTAGGGCATGGCTATACCAAAGGAAACAGAGAGTTAGTATAAATGGGGTTAAGTCAGAGTGGGAAAAATGTTGTAAGTGGGGTGCCTCAAGGCTCTCTCCTGGGACCTCTGTTGTTTATAATATATATAAATGATTTAGATTCAGGTTTGAGTAACAACATTTGCAAATTTGCAGATGATACAAAAATCGGTAGGGAAATTAACACGGAAGAAGACTCACTATCACTTCAAGTTGATCTAAATAGGGGTTTGAAATGGTCAAAAGATTGGCAGATGCAGTTTAATGCTGATAAATGTAAAGTTCTGAGGCTAGGTAATGATGATAGAGTTACAAGATACGAGCTAGATGGTGTTGAGATTGCGAAGTCAGATTGCGAAAGGGATCTGGGAGTTATGATTAGTAAGAATTTAAAACCAAAAGATCAATGCATGAATGTTCGCAATAAGGCAAATAGGACACTGGGATTTATTAATCGAAGTGTTAGTAACAATTAAGACACCTGGTGTGGTTCTTCAGCTATATCTTGCTCTGGTTAGGCCCGATTTGGATTATGCAGTTCAGTTTTGGTCACTGTACTATAGAATGGATATAAATTCACTTGAACGTGTCCAGCGTAGGATGACAAAGTTAATTCCCCAAATTAGAAATCTTTCATACGAGGAAAGACTAATAAAGCTTAAATTGCATTCACTGGAAAGGCGAAGAGTTAGGGGTGACATGATAGAGGTTTACAAGTGGATGAATGGGCATAACAAAGGGGATATTAATAGGGTATTAAAAGTATCAACACAAGACAGAACATGAAACAATGGGTATAAATTGGATAAGTTTAGATTTAGGAAAGACTTGGGTAAATACTGGTTCGGTAACAGGGTTGTTGATTTGTAGAACCAATTACTGCATAACGTGGTGGAGGTGGGGTCCCTCGATTGTTTCAAGTGCGGGTTGGACATGTATATGAGTGGGATTGGGTGGTTATAGATAGGAGCTGCCTCGTATGGGCCAATAGGGCTTCTGCAGTTTCCTTTGTTCTTATGTTCTTATGTCTATTTGTACTCACTGAATTTGTGCGCCCCTTGAGAGACTTGAAGTAGAGGGGGGGTGGGTAGAAATAGCCTAAGCTACTCTATCCCTTTGAGATGTATTTCTTTCTTGTCTCAATAAACATACTTGAACTTGAACAGTGCTATATATTCGCAATGGCTTGGCGTTTTCCCCTGATAATTCCCTCTGTGATGATATGAAAAATTGGTTTACTGAGAATCATATAAACTATATATAAATGTAGCATTTTCCCTGTAAGTTGATGTAAATATGATCTTGATATTATCTTAAAAACGTGAAGCTAAAAACAAACTTAAATATTCCTAGGCCTAGTATAGCACACATATATACTATATTTACCTCAGATACCGTGTATTAGGTCTAGGAAGGTTTGGTTAGTTTAGTTTGTCTTTGCAACATAAGTAGAAAATAGTTTTCCGGTTTGTCCAACTCAATAGGGCCGATTTCTACGTTCTAATTTCGTTGTAGGTAGGTATATATACCATGGTCCTCACTGTTACTAAAAGTACTACTAAAACAGAAGGATGGGCTGATAAATAAATAAATAGTCCGACGCTCTGATTTTGTGTTGTGAACGGGGCCGAGGCTGCTGAACGGGGCCGAGGCTGCTGAACGGGGCCGAGGAAGCTATAGCAACAAACATGGCGGTCACCCACGAACTTGCTGGCGCCTCCGAGGAACCTGAGGGTATGGTTAATTGTGGTTTTTGGTCATCATGTTACACTGCATTAAGTGTGGAGGTGGTTGTGAGTGTGTATGTGACGGGAGGAGCGCAGGAGGGCAGCGGGCCTACCCGCTCACGCTCACCCATGGAGCCCAGGGCCGCCAGCCGGGAGCTGACCAAACCCCTGCTGAAGAAACTTTAAATTCAGCCACAATGTGCGCTTAGTATAATTGCCGCCGTCCGGGACAGGATGCCTGAACTTTGGCCTGTATCGAGCTCCTTTCCCCCTAGGTTAAACTACTGACCTTACCCAGAATACAACCCACAACAATTTTAACTCCTGGAGTATTTACTGTTAGGTGAATAGAGGCAGCAGGTGAAAGGAAACGTGCTAAAGGAGTTCTTGGCACTTCCGGGGACTGAACCTGGATTCTTTGATTGTGAGACGAGAATGTAGATTGTAGCCCCACCCCTATTCTTAGAATGTGAGTCCGGTACCGAGAATACAGTCTTAAATTAAGCTTGATCTCTGTGTTGTACACGCAGGCGATTATGATACAAACTTCGGTAGGGAAATTAACACAGAAGACGACTCGCTATCACTTCAAGATGATCTAAATAGGGTTTTGAAATGGTCAATAGATTGGCAGATTCTTATGTAGTTTAATGCTGATAAATGTAAAGTTCTGAGGCAAGGTAATAATGATAGTTACAAGATACGAGCTAGATAAGAACATAAGAACAAAGGTAACTGCAGAAGGCCTATTGGCCCATACGAGGCAGCTCCTATTCTATAACCACCCAATCCCACTCATATACTTGTCCAACCCGTGCTTGAAACAATCGAGGGACCCCACCTCCACAATGTTACGCGGCAATTGGTTCCACAAATCAACAACCCTGTTACTGAACCAGTATTTACCCAAGTCTTTCCTAAATCTAAACTTATCCAATTTATATCCATTGTTTCGTGTTCTGTCCTGTGTTGATACTTTTAATACCCTATTAATATCCCCCCGGTTATGTCCATTCATCCACTTGTAAACCTCTATCATGTCACCCCTAACTCTTCGCCTTTTCAGTGAATGCAACTTAAGCTTTGTTAATCTTTCTTCATATGAAAGATTTCTAATTTGGGGAATTAACTTAGTCATCCTACGCTGGACACGTTCAAGTGAATTTATATCCATTCTATAATATGGCGACCAAAACTGAACTGCATAATCTAAATGGGGCCTAACTAGAGCAAGATATAGCTTGAGAACCACACCAGGTGTCTTGTTACTAACGCTGCGATTAATAAATCCAAGTGTCCGATTTGCCTTATTACGAACATTTATGCATTGATCCTTTTGTTTTAAATTCTTACTAATCATAACTCCCAGATCCCTTTCGCAATCCGACTTCGCAATCACAACACCATCTAGCTCGTATCTTGTAACTCTATCATCATTACCTAACCTCAGAACTTTACATTTATCAGCATTAAACTGCATCTGCCAATCCTTTGACCATTTCAAAACCCTATCTAGATCAACTTGAAGTGATAGTGAGTCCTCCTCCGAATTAATTTCCCTACCGATTTTCGTATCATCGGCAAATTTGCAAATGTTGCTACTCAAACCTGAATCTAAATCATTTATATATATTATAAACAACAGAGGTCCCAGGACAGAGCCTTGAGGCACTCCACTTACAACATTTTCCCACTCTGACTTGATTCCATTTATACTAACTCTCTGTTTCCTTTGGTATAGCCATGCCCTAATCCAGCTTAATATAGCACCCCCAATACCATGAGACTCTATTTTTTTAATCAGTCTTTCATGTGGCACTGTATCAAAAGCTTTGCTAAAGTCAAGGTATACAACATCGCAATCCTTACCACTATCAACTGCCTCAACAATGCTAGAATAAAAAGATAACAAATTTGTTAAACATGAACGGCCATTTATAAAACCATGTTGCGACTCAATTATTAATTTATGTTTTTCAAGATGAAGACGAATTTTATTTGCTATTATAGATTCGAGTAACTTTCCCACAATAGACGTTAGGCTAATTGGTCGATAGTTAGACGCAAGTGATCTATCTCCTTTCTTAAAAACTGGTATCACATTAGCAACTTTCCAAAACTCTGGCACTCTGCCTGACTCTATTGATTTATTAAATATGGTTGACAGTGGGTCACAAAGCTCCTCTTTGCATTCTTTAAGCACCCTAGCAAACACTTCATCCGGCCCTGGGGATTTGTTTGGTTTGAGTTTTACTATTTGTTTAAGAACATCCTCCCTGGTAACTGCTAAACTCGTCAACCTGTCCTCGTCCCCACCCACATAGACTTGTTCGGCTGAAGGCATATTGTTAAGTTCCTCTTTAGTAAATACAGATGCAAAATATTTATTAAAAATACTACTCATCTCTTCATCACTATCTGTTATTTGACCTGTCTCAGTTTTTAATGGACCTATCCTTTCCCTAGTCTTAGTACGATATAACTGAAAAAACCCTTTAGGATTTGTCTTTGCTTGCCCTGCTATGCGAACTTCATAGTTTCTTTTTGCTTTCCTTATCTCTTTTTTAACATTTCTAACCAGTTGTACGAATTCCTGTTCTAAAGTGACCTCCCCATTTTTAATCCTTTTGTACCAAGCTCTCTTTTTACCTATAAGGTTCTTCAAATTCTTTGTTATCCACTTTGGGTCATTAGTATACGATCTATTCAATTTGTATGGTATACTACGTTCCTGTGCTTTGTTTAGAATATTCTTAAATAAGTTATATATTGAATCCACATCGAAATCCCCATTTAAGTCACCTATCGCTGGGTTCATGTCTCGCTCCAAGACCGGCCCACACCCCATACCCAAGCCTTTCCAATCAATTTGACCCAAAAAATTTCTTAGGCTATTAAAATCAGCTTTTCGAAAATCTGGCACTTTAACAGAATTTTCTCCTACTGGTCTATTCCATTCTATGCTAAATCTGATTTCTTTGTGATCACTGCTCCCTAGCTCACTCCCTATTTCGATGTCATTAATTTGCGTTTCCCTGTTAGTTAACACTAAATCTAAAATATTATTTTCCCGTGTTGGTTCCTTAATGTGTTGCGTAAGAAAGCAATCGTCAATTAATTCTAGAAAATCTTCTGCTTCACTATTCCCTGTTTTGTTCAACCAGTTTATTCCGCTAAAATTAAAGTCACCCATGACATAAATACTGTTAGATCTAGATGCTCTAGATATTTCATCCCATAGATGCTTTGCTTCCATTCTGTCTAAATTTGGTGGCCTATATATTACTCCTATTATAATATTATTAGCTTTTTCGTTTAATTCAATCCAAATAGTTTCTGTGTGTGGCTCTGTTTTGATTCCCTCTTTGAGACTACATTTCAAATTGTCCCTAACATATATGGCTACTCCACCTCCTCGTCTAATATATCTATCTGTGTGAAATAGTTTAAATCCATATATTTGATATTCAGCTAATAGTTCTCTATTTTCTACATTCATCCACGTTTCGGAAGTGCAATAATATCTATTTTTTCTGTGCAGACAAGAGCATTTAATTCGTTAATTTTATTTCTTAGACTTCTACTGTTAGTGTAATATACCCTAAGTGAATTGTTATTTTGCGGACCTTCTCTTTCCCTGATCGTTTTGCCAATTCCTTTCTCCCACAAACACATACTTTTATTACCTCCTTCCTCCAAATCAATTCCCATACCTCTATCTACTAACAGTTTAAACCCAAACAAACACCTCTAACCACTTCTTCTAGCGAGTTCGCAACAGCAACAACCCCAGCTCTCGATAGATGCACCCCATCACGAGCATACATTTCATTTCTTCCATAGAAGTGTTCCCAGTTGTCTATGAAAGATATTGCATTTGATTTGCAATATCTTTCCAGCCGGCAATTGACACCAAGTGCCCTCGATATCCATTCATTTCCCACTCCCTTTCTTGGAAGAATGCCACATATGATCGGGATTCCTCCCTTGCTCCTAACTAACTCTATGGCTGTTTTATACCTCTGAATCAGTTCCTCACTCCTGACTCGACCAACATCATTTCCTCCCACGCTAATGCAAATAATGGGATTGTTCCCATTACCAGCCATAATATCATTCATGTTGTTTATAATATCACCAATGCCAGCTCCGGGATAGCAAACCCTTAACCTGTTCCCCCTATCTCTAGCACAAAACGTTCTATCCAAATACCTTATCTGGGAATCTCCCACAACTAATGTTTGCTTAGGTACTTCCTTTACTTTCTGAGGGGCCTGCGCTTCCTTTCTCTTCGTTGCTTTCCCTTTTGCGCGATCCACAGTCTCTCCACAGCACTCGTCCTCCAAAACGTCAAATGAATTTGATGGTGTTGAGATTGCAAAGTCGGATTGCGAAAGGGATCTGGGAGTTATGATTAGTAAGAATTTAAAACCAAAGGATCAATGCATGAATGTTCATAATAAGGCAAATAGGACACTGGGACTTATTGATCAAAGCATTAAGGACATAAGAACAAAGGTAACTGCAGAAGGCCTATTGGCCCATACGAGGCAGCTCCTATCTATAACCACCCAATCCCATTCATATACTTGTCCAACCCGTGCTTGAAACAATCGAGGGACCCCACCTCCACCACGTTACGCGGTAATTGGTTCCACAAATCAACAACCCTGTTACCGAACCAGTATTTACCCAAGTCTTTCCTAAATCTAAACTTATCCAATTTATACCCATTGTTTCGTGTTCTGTCTTGTGTTGATACTTTTAATACCCTATTAATATCTCCTTTGTTAATTAGTAACAAGACACCTGGTGTTGTTCTTCAGCTATGTCTTGCTCTTCAGCTCTATATCTTGCCCCATTTAGATTATGCAGTTCAGTTTTGGTCGCCGTACTATAGAATGGATATAAATTTACTTGAACGTGTCCAGCGTAGGATGACAAAGTTAATTCCCCAAATTAGAAATCTTTCATATGAAGAAAGATTAACAAAGCTTAAATTGCATTCACTGGAAAGGCAAAGAGTTAGGGGTGACAGATTGAGGTTTACAAGTGGATGAATGGACATAACAAAGGGGATATTAATAGGGTATTAAAAGTATCAACACAAGACAGAACACGAAAAACAATGGGTATAAATTGGATAAGTTTAGATTTAGGAAAGACTTGGGTAAATACTGGCTCGGTAACAGGGTTGTTGATTTGTGGAACCAATTACTGTGTAACGTGGTGGAGGTGGGGTCCCTCGATTGTTTCAAGCACGGGTTGGACATGTATATGAGTGGGATTGGTTGGTTATAAATAGGAGCTGCCTTGTATGGGCCAATAGGCCTTCTGCAATTACCTTTGTTCTTATGTTCTTATGCTATGGTAGTGTGTCCACTCACAGGACGAGTGGTGCCACCCAATACTGTCACTGGCGGTGTATCCTCTCACAGGATGAGTGGTGCTGCCCAGTACTGTCACTATATTGGGCCATATATTATGCTTTTAAATTGGAATATGTTCTGTGTATATATGTATGTGTGCTGTATATAATACCACTACTGTATTACAATATACTGTACTCATATGCAGGCGATGAATCCTGGCTTTGTTGCTGTGGACTCTTCCCTTTCACAGTATATACTCAAATGCTTTAATCTTTCTAACAAATGTGACCTAACATAAGCTTACCCTTCCATTTATCTTTCTTTATCTTTCATTTTATTTATTTCTTTTTTTTTCTGTTCACTGTTTTCTCTTGCGTCCCCTTGCTATCCTCTTCTTATTCCTATTACTATCTCCTCATTCGGAGGAGGAGATAGTAATAGTATTAAGATATTATGGAGGAGATATGGCAGCTCCTCCATAATAGGAGCTGCCTCGTATGGGCCAATACGCTCTCTGCAGTTCTTATTCCTTCTATCCCCTCTACTACACCTTACCTTGCTCCTCACCTCTCTCTCTTGCCTATTTATTGCCAGCATCTACTTCCTCATCACAATTGACTTGAGAATCGTCCCTTCACCTTGTAGTGTGTGGTCTGGTCTACAATATACAGTACTGTAACATCTGTAACATGTCATCTTCAGATGATGCCTTGGAGTCATCAGACAACTCTGACTCAGACAGCAGTTCTAGCTCGAGCAGTAGCAGTAGTAGCCGGACAAGTAGCAGGGCTGGAAGCCGGTCACCAACAGGTAAGCCAAATACATAATGCTTAATACCCATTATGATTTACGTTAATTTTCATGTTTAGAAGTTTTACATTTATAATTTCCTAGACTATACCAGTATATAAGTACCTAAGAATCATGGAAACTACAGAATGCCTATTGGGCATAGCAGCTCTTATTTATATCCACCCAAACTCATACTTTTATAATACTACACCATACTTTTAATATACAGTACTATCTAACCTTATTTAATGTCAGAGGTTAAGTTCCCAAAGACCATGAATTTAACTGAAATAACATGGAGTGAAACCACGAACTGTCATAGGCCTAGTGTTATAAGTAAGGGTTACATTCGTACGGTACTGTGAAAGATAATACTGTGTTTTTTCCCCTAATCAGTATGGTATTGTTAAAGAAAGTAATGAAATGAAACAAAGGCATGATTTAACTGTAAACTTTTATTATAAATTGTTACCAGGTACATATATTGGCATAAATGATTTTCTTTAATGAGTGGTGTGACCACTGTGAGATTATTCATCAGATTCAAGGATGGGCATATCTGGATCAAATGGTTATCTCCATCGTTTTTTCTGTTCATGACCATCATCATTCCATCATTCTTCTCGAGTTCATCTCCTTGCCCTTTTCATCATCTTGATCCAAATCATTACTGTCTTCTTTCTTCTGCTGATCCTCCTTCCTAAGAAAAGCATCTATTATCTGCAGAACTTTTTTTTTCTTCCGCTTATAACTTTTAACTGTAATGGTCAATACTAGATTGTAAATTCTTGCATGAAGTATAAGATCATTACAAGTAGATTAGGCTGTTTCTACCCTCCTCCACTCATATTTCATCCAGCAGTATTAGTTCTTCATTGGTTAAAGGCTGTGTGAGCGTGTCAAGCACTTCATGTATGTCATCCTCGTCAACTTCTTTAAAACCAACTGTGAGAGCTGGCCCAACAGTTTCGTGCCGGATCTCTGGCAAATCTTGCCGCAAAACCTTCAAAAATATTTTTAGTCAAGCCAGGGCTTTTTCTGCAACTATTTGTCAATTTTATTTACACTCCCTTTCCCCCCCCCCACCCGACGAGTCCCTAATAATTTCAGGGGGCATCCATAATGTTAAATTTTTATCCTCCCAAACACTGGGGTTCTCTTCACTATTTAAAAATTTAATTAGCGTCTTGAAGGCATGCTGTAAAATGCTTTGAAATTTACTGATTTTCTGGTCTGTTGGGTGTGTCAATGAAGTCATTTTGGGTGGCAAAAAATAATCGTAACATTATCTGATACATCATCGAGGTAGACAGGATGGACAGGGGCATATTGAATAATAGTGCTCCTGGGCAGTTTTTCTAGCAGTATATGTTTTTAATTGTAGGACAAAGTAAATACAGTACTGTAAAGTCAGGATTGGGTTAAGGGATGGGCTTTTAAATTTTTAGGGGCTGGAGCTCAGGGGCCTCCTCCAATACAATGTAGGATAGCTGTAATTTACACTGGAGCTTCAATAACTTCAGTAACTATTAAACTATCCCTACTGGATTTGTTTTTGTCGCAGCAGGATTGGTGTGAAGTGTTTGAAAATAAAGCAGAAGACAAATTAGAAAGTGTGTAATACTGTAATGAACAAAAAGAGGGCATTAGAAAAGCAAACAAATTTGTTGCTTTCTAGGAAGATGCAAGTTTAGGGTGGAAATGTTTTCCCATCAGACAAGTCATGTTTAGCTCTTTCATTGTACTGCCAACCTGTCATTTTTCTTGCAGTTGTGATGGCTACTTTATTGTGTTCTTTAACCCTCAAACCGCTAGGGGTCCAAATGGCTTAACACCCACAGGCGCAAAAAAAAATCCAAATAATTCTTTTGTCTTATAAAAGTGTTCATTTTTGTTCCCTGATCACGGAAAAAAAAAAACAAAAAAATCGTAGATGGCATATTTTAGCTGCAATAGGGTAGGGAAGTCTGGCAAAAAAGGGGCGTTGACAGAGCCTTCGCCAGACAAGGTCTACTCCGCTCGAGCTGTCAGGCGGCAGTTGCCACAAATATATTATTACCTAATTATTTCAATGTCTCTGATTGATTTTTTCTTAGTTTTTTGCAGTAATATTATTCAGTACAGTGAATTGTGATATATTAATATAATAAAATGTGTGAACCATCGCTGTACTCAAAATTATGGTGTGCATATTAGTGATTCAATTATTTTGTTCATAAAAATAAATAGACAAATAGTTTTGCTGTTATTATACTATATAGACTCACAGGTTATATATAAGTATCTGCATGTTTTGCTCACCATAACGAACCACTAAGTTGGTATTGTGAGTCAAAATGCAACGAGGAGTGACCGCCACACACCAGCCTGCCACTCACTCCCTCAACAACACCTCACTCGCCCTCATTCTCCTCCCACAACACTGTTTTTGCATTTATTCACTATACACAGATGTTATATACTGTATAATTATTTACATGCGAACAAACCTGAATGGTCCCCCATAAGTATTTACATGTTTTGTTCACCATAACTGTACATCTGAGCTTGTATGGTGAGTAAAGGCACAAAGACGTAGTTACTCACAGTCAGCTGGTGGCGGCTGCCCTCAAGGTCTGACACATTAAAATTTTTCCTCCAACAATACTGCTTGTGGTGTTATTGCACTATATACACACACATTATATATTCAGTTGCATATAGTCCTGGGGACCATTCAGGTTTGTTCGCACACATATATAAGTATCTACCTGTTTTATTCATCATACCTGTACAAATAAGCTGGTATGGTGGCCAAAGACCATAGTGGCCACCAGTAAACAACATGATAAGTCATGCAGACGACACACCTCCCTCACCAAAATGGCGGCTCCCAACCTATTCCTATTACACTCTATACACACGTTTATGTAAATATCTACATTTGTGTTCACCATAGCGAACCACTAAGCTGGCATGGTGACAGAAGACGCCGCCACCACCCTCCCTCCCACAGCATTACTCCTCCCTCCTTGAAGCACAGCGCTAAATATCACCACAATCCTGCTATTATCAGAATCCTGGTAGGTTTTATCACAGTCAGGGGTCTATCACAGTCTGTAATACTATCATCGCTAAATAATAGGATGAACATATATATTATGGCATTTGTAGGCGATGTTGTGGTCACAAGCTCAACAGCGGTGCTGTGAGCTCGTGCTGCGTGCGCCAGCCTTGGTGGCTTGCTCAATACTGAAGCTCTTGCACCCAAGAATGTTGGCCTGGATTTTTTTTCAAGGCGGCATCTGGCAACTATCGGTCGTGGCTGCACTATAGCTGCCCCTATCCCAGGCGGGCGTTTAAATTATAGTGCTAGACACAAAATCATATATATATGACATGCGCAGTTTCGGTTTTGTCACTGAAAGCATATATATATACCTACACACATGTAGATATCAGCGGATTAACAATTTCATTTCATTTTTAACTTCTTCATTTCCTAATGTTAAAATAATACTACGGATTTGTTTGTGTTAATGATAATTCATCCGGTTGTAGAGAAAGTTTTTCCAAGATGAAGCTTCTGAATAATGTATACAAATTTGATGATACAAGAATGACTAAACAGGCTTGTTCTCATGGCAAACAAAGATTAAATTCTTAGTAACTTGTAATATACTGATGTTTTGGAGAAATTTGTTTAAAAAGAAATTACATAAAGCAAATGTTCATATTTTAATTATTGTTAGCTTTCTATAAATCTATTTAATTTTCTTAACTTTGTTTTCCTCTTGAAAATATTATTGGGGGCCTACAAAATCTTCCACATTGTTTTCTTCATCCTTCATTAGGAAACTTAAAAAACATGACTGCTTGCCTGCCTCCACCTTTCCTAATTATTCTGTCATGTATCCAAAAAAGAGTAACCTCGTGGGCACCACCTCATTTGAAATTGTATTAGTCAGTTTTGTCTACTAGTGCAACAATATCGGGCATCTTAACACTTTGGCATCGTGATGACGTTCACGCAGTCATTAAAACAATACACGCAGTTCGGGTAATGACGTTAACGCCATCATCAATTAATTTTTGCTTATTCTTATTAGTAAGCATAAACATTGTGAGAGAGTTTAACATTGGGTTTTGTGCTCACGGGCAACGCTCGGCCTACTTTGCGGTGCAATACGGGTGACCCACCGGGCTAGGCAAAGTGTTAAGTTTTATTGTATCGTTTAACTACAATATTTTTTTACCTCACCCCATCTATGTTAGTATACAGTTTTCAGGAACAAGTTCTATACTCCTATGCCCATCAAACCCTTACGTCTAATGGTTTGGTTGGTGTGACATCATTAGTGTTATTTATTTTGACTCAGCAGCCAGACAATTTAAATGTTGTATTTGTTGCCAGAATAACAGAAATCCATTTTAATTTTTGTTAACAATAAACTCTTTGGTTCTATCTGATATGAGAAGCGGTGATGTAGAATCTATTTAATGCAGTCTTAACATAAAAAATTTTTTGAGTGCATATATTTAAAATTCTAAGTTTTCTTAAAATTTTGTATTAGTGTTATGTTAACACTTTGGCATACCCCGCGCGCCACCCCTCAACTGTGCGAGGGGTGGCGCACAGGACCCAGGGTGTCAGGGGAGCGTGCGTAAATTCTGAAAAGTGTATACTCTCTTCAACTTTGTCACCTTAATTCTCGTCCTACGAGATTAAATTTTGAATCATCGTGTTCGCAATAGAATTCTCTACAGCACTAAATGCATATGCGATAAAATGTTTTCACTCTGGTCACCTCAATTTTCGTCCTAGGTCTTTCATTTTGGTCTCAATGGGTTCGCAATAGAATTCTCTAGAGGAACATTAGCATATAAAATAAAAAACCTGGTCACGCTCCAACCGCCGACGAGTTGAAGACGGGCCACACGTTAGCCGCAAGTGAGCGCTCAGACGCCTTCCAGCTACACTCCCAATTCCCGCCCTTTTCAAGCCTTTCTTTCGCAATTTTCTTCCTGGAAGGGCCTTGTTCATGATCACTATCCATCGTGGAGTAAGCGTAGATGGTTTCTAAAGCCGCAGTAAGAAATATAGCCACGGAAAATAGCCGAAATGTTCACACGTTTGAGATGCGAGGGGAGGCGACATTGGTCACAACAGTGGAGTGAAAACAATGGGCCCGCGGCGTGTGCCTGAGGGTCACGAGACTCAACAAAGAAAATGGGAAGACATCGGCGCGCATTTTAAAACCAGTCCCAAAAAAATCGGATAAAAACCTGATTTTTGGCGATTATTTAAAGTGGATGACGCAATGCTGCGTCATCCCCGGTATTACCGACAGTAAACGGATGACGCAATGCTGCGTCATGCCCGGGCAAAAGTGTTAAAATATTCAAACTAAACTTTAAAGCATAAATAATGCTTTCAGGTATTCGCTCGCCATCACCAGCGGGCAGCAACAGGAGTGGATCTAGAAGCAGAAGTCATACTCCAGCAAGAAGCAATGCGAGTAGATCTGTTAGTGGCAGCCCTAGAAGTAGAGGTAGTGCTTCACCCCAGAGCAAAATGAATTATTCACCAGCAGCAGCAGGCAGTCCTCGTAGCAGGGCCAGTGAATCACCACACAGTCCAGCTGGCAGTCACCCCAGTAGATCCCAAGCTGGCAGTCATCACAGTAGATCCCCAGCCGAAAGCCAGCAGAGTAGATCTCCAGCTGGCAGTTATCGAAGCAGATCTCCAGCTGGCAGTCAGCACAGTAGATCCCTAGCTCGCAGTCACCACAGTAGATCGCCAGTTGGCAGTCGACACAGTAGATCCCCTTTTGGTAGTCGACACAGTAGATCCCCTTATGGCAGTCGACACAGTAGATCCCCAACCGGCAGTCGACACAGTAGATCTCCAGCTGGTAGTCAGCACAGTAGGTCCCTAGCTCGCAGTCATCACAGTAGATCACCAGTTGGCAGTCGACACAGTAGATCACCAGCTGGCGGTCAGCGCAGTAGATCCTTAGCTCACAGTCGTCATAGTAGATCACCAATTGGCAGTAGACACAGTAGGTCCCCAGTTGGTGGTAAGCACAGTAGATCCCCAGCTGGCAGTCAGCGCAGTAGATCCTTAGCTCACAGTCGTCACAGTAGATCACCAGTTGGCAGTCGACTCAGTAGATCCCCAGCTAGCAGTCACCGCAGTAGATCTCAAGTCAGCAGTCGTCGTAGTAGGTCCCCAGTCAGTAATCGTCGTAGCAGATCTCCAGCTGGCAGTCACCGAAGTAGATCTCAAGTTAGCAGTCATCGAAGTAGGTCCCCAGTTAGCAGTCATCGTAGTAGGTCCCCAGTCGGCAGTCGACACAGTAGATCCCCAGCTGGCAGTCAGCGCAGTAGATCCCTGGCTCATAGTCGTCACAGTAGATCACCAGTTAGCAGACACAGTAGATCACCAGCTAGCAGTCACCGCAGTAGATCTCAAGTCAGCAGTCGTCGTAGCAGGTCCCCAGTTAGCAGTCATCGTAGTAGGTCCCCAGTTGGCAGTCATCGTAGCAGGTCCCCAGTCAGCAGTCGTCGTAGCAGGTCCCCATCTGGTAGTCACCGCAGTAGGAGTGGAACTCCAAGAAGTCACAGGAGTTTGTCAGGCTCTCATCCTAGAAGTAGATCTCTTAGTCCTCAAAGAAGCAGGTCTGGATCACCAGCCAGTAGAACACCTGCTGGATCATTTGATGGTAGCCTTACTCCAGCTGTATCTCGTGGAGGTAGTAGATCACCTAGATCTAAAGTGGATAGTGCAACACCATTGGGTTCTAGGGTGGGAAGTAGGTCACCTGTAGATTCCAGAGGTAGAAGTAGGACCCCATCACCAGTGGGCTCCAGGAGAGAGAGTAGATCTCCTGTAGGATCAAGAACGGGCAGTGCATCACCTCCGAGATCGAAAGTTAAAAGTAGATCACCAGCACACTCAAGGACAGGCAGCAGGTCACCAAGGTCACCTACTCACTCTAGAGGATCCAAATCACCCATTTCTAGATCAGGCAGCAGAAGCCCAGCATTGTCTCGAAGCCATAGTAGGTCTCCCAGAGATAACCGAAGAAAAAGGTCGCCGACTGGAAGTAGGAAGTCTGGGTCCCGCTCACGATCAAAATCACCACTTGGCAGTGATAAAGAAGCAAAAAGAGGTACAGTAACAGAGGCTGTATTGTTAGATATTTAAAATGTGTGTGTGTATATACAGTACAGTAATATTAAAGGAGCAGAAATATATGGAGATCTGTCTGTTCACATGTTCTATGTAAAATAGGATTGAATAGTAAATGAATGATTGTACCTTAAGAATTCAACACTTGTATGTTGGATACTCGTAGCAACTATCAGTCAAACGTACGAAAGTGGACTGTTGAACAGAAAAAGTTCTTGTTTTGTATATATGTAATTCTCCAAATGACATACAAAAAAAAATGGAAAACTAACTATACAATCTAACCTAACCTGTTTAGGCCAAAATAAGCATTCCTAGAACTAATATAAGCTATCTTAAATCTAATTTAGTACATATGTGCAGTACTAAGCCTAGGAATGTTTACGTTTGGTTGTTGCCTGACTTCTCATGCCTTCTAGAAAATAGATTAATCTTTGAAAATATAGAATTGTAGCACGGAGGCTTGTGGAAAGACAAGGAAGAATGTAAAAAATATGGATTGGAGAATGCTAATGTGACTGGTAAATAGGAAATTATAAGCAGGAGGAAAGACTACAGTACTGTTTAAGTTTGATGGATGAAAGTAATGAAAGAATAACAAAAGGGGGAATATAATTGGTTCTGCTGGGGTTGTGAAGAGAGTAAGATAGTATACCAGCAGATATATATATATATGTGGAAGAGTAAGGGCATCAACATAGAATCTGATGCATGGGGAAAGCTGCAGGTATTGAAAGTGTGTGTGCAGAAATAAGCAGTGTGTATGGAACTGTAGTGACTGAATTGGTCGGGAAATAACTAAAAATTGATCAGTTGAAGAAAGTTAATTCTGAAGTGGAAGAGGTTGTGTGGCTCAGATCTGTGCATCGTGTGTTTGTAAAATTGGTTAGCATGGGAAAATGTGTAGAAGTGGTTGATTAGTTTAAGTGCCAGAGATGTGTAACTGATGTAAGAAGGGTCGGTGGGAGTGAACTGGGAAGATAGGTGGCTGGAGCAGTGAAAGTCCTGGTCAACAAAAGCAGTGCTAAAAGAGGTGCATGGAGTGGTAGTGCCTACCCTCAGCCTATATTTAGAATTGTAGTAGTAGAAATGGGCAGCCTTGCACACCATATGTTAAATACAGTACTAATTCAGTAGATACAAAAGGTGTGAGGAGAAAATGCATAGTAAGGAGTGAACATGTGGAAAATGTTAGTACAAAAAGCCTAAAAATTTAAAAGTTGTCGAGAGTAAGGAGAGTGTTTGGCCATTTTAACAAATAGATGATAACAAAGAGTGAAGCTGAGGGTTGGAGAAAGCTGAGTATGAGCATTTGCTGTGGATGATTTAGTTTTTCTCTAATATATATTGTATATAAGAAATGGTGAATGGTCGAATGTCACTTGTATTTTTATCTTTAACCTTCTTATACTATATTTGTGCTCTTATATTTTCTATGCTGACCCTCTTAATCCTATGACTGTGGGAAATGAGGTAATGATGATACAAGTGTACAGCTTGATGCATATAAATTTACTGTTTTATTAGAGTTTTATAGTTTTATATCTGGCCCATTTCCAGGTGGCAGTGATGCTGAGGGTAAGAAGGGATCAGATGATGACAGTGACATGGATGTTGGCAGGTATGAAATATCTCATATTTCTTGATGTGATGATACCAGTGTATGACTATTAGTGACATAACAGAAAATAATTGTTTAATATTGTTTCATAAGGATTTTTCCCTAAAATTGAAGAACATGTTAGGGTAAAGTTGCTGGTCCTTACCCACTGAAGCCAGCTGTCATTGATCAAAGTTGTATAAAAAAATGTTTTTATTTTTGGAAACACAGTACAATATATATAAAATGAATGCTTAGTAAACATATCAAATGACACCACAATCTAATCTGTAGATGCAATACTTGGCATCCCGAGATGTTGGCTAAATTGTCACAGTGCATTGGGAGAGTGACTGCTTCAGCGCTGTTTGTTGAGTAGTTATGTCATCCATTTTTAGAGGACTTGTACCAGTATAATCATGAGTAATATGGCATCCATGAGCATCCACAAGTGTGTATCTGCTTGCTTCTCAGTTCTTCCATATCAGTGTCTTTGAGGAGCAAGATCTAGCTATTTAGGCCCTGCTTCCATCTGTTTGCACCTGGTGCATTTACATTTCTGCATGATTTATTGGTCATATTTGCTCATGAAGTTATAAATGAAGATTGGCATAGAAAGACTTCATCTTTCTGTGATAATGCTCACTACATAAAAGCATTTTCTTTGGTTCATTTCCAGCTTTTCACCCATGGCCTTTTCTCCATCTTCTTTGTCTTTGACCATCTTTGTTCATCTTGTTAATTCTCCTTAATATTTTGGGTATATAGTGATCATATACATTTAGGTTCCTCTTCCCTGTAGAATTGGTAGAATAGCAGATTGAATTCCCATAAGCTACTGGGTTTGTAACAACATAGTTCACCACGTAATGGACAGGATATAGCAGAGATTTTAGCATTATTTTGCCATTAGAAGATGGCTCTGATGGTCAAATTAGCTAATGACAAAAATCTAATTTTTTGTTTAAATATAAGTTGTACTGTAATTGGTAACTTAAAAGAAAAAATTGTCTTTAATATTAGGTGTCTAATATGCATAATTTTCAGGAAACGTAAACGTGCACTGATGAGTGATGATTCAGATGATGATGCCGCCAAGAAAGTCAGATCTGATGATGAATTGAATGGTAAGAGCATGTACATTATGTCCTCCTCACAGTGGTGTAATATAATACCTTAAAGACCATTTCTAAATTTTCTTTATCTACAGATACATCAACTAAGTACCTGTATCAATGCTGAGTCACATTTACTTGAATATTCATATAGCATTAGCAGTGTATGCAAATACTGTTATCATTTCAGTAGGAGGGGCTGGAAATTGAAGAAGCTAGGACATGACATGGCATTTAACCCTTAAACTGCTCAGCAAAAGGGGCATTTTTACATAATTCAAAAAATATTTGAATTATGTAAAAATTACTTCAAAATGTTAAACAAATCTCCAACTAATTGGCTTCAGGATTGTGAAACTTTCATCAAAATATTTTGTGTTTGATTTTAGATGAATTTTTTAAAAAGAAGAATGTTTTGTTGATAAGAACAGCTCCTATTAACTGGAACGGATGGATAATGCAGTAATAAAGAGAGAGGATAGCTCCAGGGAGCCTCCGGGACTCGGAAAATGGCGTTTCATTACATTCAACGGTGGTTTTTTTTAAACATAACGCTTATAAATGTTTGCTGGATTTATTACTTTTATAACTACTGTTTATTATTTAGCTGGATTGGATAATGAATGATGGAGTAATGTCTTGTGAATAATATCATAATAGATTGATGGAACTTGTTTACTTTGGCTTACTTCTCATGTTTATGATGTTAAAGAAGCTCATTTTCATTGCATCATTCAAATCCTTTTTTTATTTTCTCATTTAGCTTTTACAGTTTTCACCAACACACACACAAAACATAAAATAGTTTACTCTTTATTTTATTTAAGAATTCATTTTAGTGGCACTGCAAAATTTATATACACATATGAGGACCAACCCACACTCCAGGGGCCAGATTCACGAAGCAGTTACGCAAGCACGTACGAACTTGTACATCTTTTCTCAATCTTTGGCGGATTTGTTTACAATTATTAAACATTATATGTACAGTATTAATGAACTGCGAAGCACTAGGAGGCTGTTTATGACAATAGCAACAGTTGATTGGGGAGTTTTCATCCTTGTAAATTGTTTAATAAATGTAACCAAAACCATTAAAGATTGAGGAAAGATGTTCACGTTCGTAAGTACTTGCGTAAATGCTTTGTGAATCTAGCCCCAGAAGATGAGGAGTTGACGACGTTTCGGTCCGTTCTGGACCAATATCAAGTCAATTGTGACAGGAGCGAGAGGGGCAAGGGCATTCGTAAAGCAAGAGGAAGTTGAGGAGCAGGCGAGAGGTAATTCCTAGAAGAAGGAAAGAGCAAGGCGAAAAGGTAAGAACAAGAACCATCTGTACTCCTTTTGGTTTCTTGTTCTTATCTTTTCACTTTCTCTTTTTGTCTAGGAATTACCTCTCACCTGCTCCTCACCTCACTCTTGCCTTACTTATACCTGCACCTCCCTCACTCCCATCACAATTGATTTGATTATGTTCCTGGATGGACCAAAACGTAGTCATATCCTCATCTTCTGGTGTATGGTTTGGTCATCTTATCTTCAGCCACATTATAATTCGTTGTCTGTTTATATTTTTATATTATATTAAATTTTTTCTATATTAGATGTTAATGCAGAAGACCTCTTTGGTGATGCTGATGATATCAGCGATGATGAAGATAAAGATAAACATACCAAGGGTGATAAAGACAGACGGAGATCGAGGTCGCGGTCTCGTTCACGGTCAAGATCACGATCACGATCCAGGTCTCGCTCAAGATCCAGGTCAAAGTCTCGATCACGATCAGGTTCACCGAGGCTTATTGTGCCTGATGTAAGAAAATATCCTTAGTCATTACTACATTTAATTGTATTATATGATATTATGTTGAAGATAAATGTCAAGTTGAGAGTAGACTTTATTGAAGATAATGTTTAAACTGTTTAAGATGCATAGGTTTTATTACATTATGTTAATATTGTTTAGGATGAAGAGAAGGAAGATGAGGGCCCTCCTCCAGAAACAAGAATTGAGGCTGAGATCCCCAAAATTAACACGGATTTAGGCAGGGATATACATTTTGTGAAATTACCCAACTTCCTCTCTGTTGAAACGAGACCATTTGACCCTGAACTCTACGAAGATGAAATTGATGAGGAAGAGACACTAGATGAAGAAGGTCGAGCAAGGTGAGATCCAAATGTTATTTATTTTTTAGCATGCTAGATTTTTGTACCTCTTCATACTAAGTTACAGTGCATAGAAATTGCATCTCGGATCATTACACCTAATTCCATGCTTTTAGAGAAGGGAACGCGTGAACAGTGATGCATAAAAATATCAAGAGTCGAGTTGACTATAAAGTTGGCACTTTTCCTGCAAGGGCTTCATAAAATCTAATAATGACTAATACATATATGTGCTTTAGAAAGCAAAGACTATTGTTGATAAAGTTATTTACTGTAGTCCTATTATAGGTGCCTAGTACATTTATATATATTTATCTAAAATAATCTATACATGATGTATTTGCAGGAATTTAAATTTTAGGACTTTAATATATTTTTCATATGAAGGGTCTAAACATCCACTTGAACAAATAGACGGACACATTTGCTCGTTTCATCTTCTGAAAACCATATTAGAATATAATAATTACTGATACATAATTTGTACAATTTATATACAGGCTGAAGCTAAAAGTTGAAAACACAATGCGATGGCGGACTGTATTTGATAAGGAAGGAAATGCTGTAAAGGAGAGTAATACCAAGTTGGTTCGATGGTCTGATGGATCAATGTCGCTCCATCTTGGTAGTGAAATCTTCGATGTCTATAAACAGCCTTTGCAGGTTAGTTATTATAAAGTTTTTTATATTATATATACAATAAGCTGCTCTATGATAAACAGTAATATTCACTATTTTTGTCATGTGTATATTAGATACACACACAGTATCGGTTACTTAGACTTTTCTGGGGGGACCCCGTCGGCTCCCCAGAGCTATCCAGGTTGAATGAATATGTATAACTTTCTGGCATCAGTCAATGTGCATGGAGTTCATGGTCCTACAGTGGACCACAAGCCAGAACTTGGCCCCCCTCAGAGAGGTGCGAGGAGCAGTGGCCAATAGAAACCCCCATGTGGTTGGGAGGATTCTGTGTCTGCCATCAGCAAGGTCTGACACCCAGAAAGGTAGGTATCCCAAAATAAACCCCTATTCTGGTTAAACTATTACTACCGGAAGCTGAACGAGTGGACAGAACTCCCCAAATGAAAACTAGCAAATTAACATGATGTCGCCGTGCCACCGGCTGCGCAACCCCCTTGTGGGGAGTGAACGATATGGAAGAAAATGCGGAATAGAACCAGTGAAGAGCAGGGGTGCCATAGGCACAGTCAGAGAACACTGTATAAACATCAGAGGTCTGTTCAACGTCCTACCAGCGAGCATCAGAAATATTGCCGGAACAACCGTGGACAAGGTTGTTCTACTCTTGGGGAGTAGAACTCCCAGAACCCCATCAAGCAGGGGTCTAAGAGCCCCCATCCCCCCCGCGCCGGCGATCCTCCAGTAGCTCGCACGCCACTGTAAGAGCAGTACTGAAACGGGGGACAGTACAGCATAAGAATCCGGAGCTAGAGCCACACAACTTGACTGTATCTTAAACATGCTTCTCTTGACAGGCACATAATCAACTTTTTTTTTTCTATTATTGTTTTATTTACCATATATATGTACAGTATATTATTATCTTTAGCTAGGAACTTTATGGATTTGTAAGTTTCCAACAAAACTGTTGGATTAATGTTATAAAGCTTAACTGATTTTTTTTTTCTTAGGGAGACCACAACCATCTCTTCATTCGTCAAGGAACGGGTCTGCAAGGTCAGGCAGTTTTTCGTACAAAACTGACCTTCCGTCCTCATTCAACTGATTCATTCACTCATCGCAAGATGACTTTGTCTCTTGCTGACCGCTCACAGAAAACTAGTGGTGTCAAAGTTTTGTCCAACCTCTTCCGTGATCCAGAGAGTACTCGAGTTGAGAGTTTAAGGGTGAGTATCTTTCCAACACAAGAGTTTGTTGATTGTGCTCTAAGAATTTATTGGGCCTACTTTAGCTGTTGTTTTATATGACATGCAATTGCTGCTGTTTATCTTTCATTCCATGTCATGCACATCACATATTCCCTCACACATTCATTGCATGCATATTGTCCTTTCCAGCTCTTAAGTTATAAATATGTGTGAGCGATGTTACGTTAAATTGAGAGTATGAAAGTTGAAATGTTAGGAGAGGTGAACAGTAGAATAAAAGGAAGAAGAGTAAAGACAGAACTGAAAGATTTCAAAATTATGAAACACTTGTTTTCAATTTGAAAAAGCAGTGAAAGATAAAACAAGATTTGAAAGTGATAGAAACACCTATGTGGCCTTTTGAAAAAGCTAACTTCAGAACAGTTTCTATTGGATTTAGCTCTAATGTATGACACATTGCATGAACTTGGTTTACTGTCAGTGTGACTACAGGCATGCACTACTTCAATTGAGTGTGCAGACAAACTGATTCAACAGAGCATAAGGTAATTGCATGGACTAAAAGAGAAACCTGGCACTAGAACTTTAGAAGCTCAAAAGGCAATTGAAAAGGGGAAGTTTGGAGGAATTACTATAACAAGCAACAAGGAAATTGTCTCCATTAATTATCAACAGTTTCTTACTAGTCAAAATGTGAACAATTTGCAGCACCGTATGTTCATGACAGCATCCATGAAAGGCTCTCATACTTCTGAACTTCTAAGTATGCATAAATCATGTATGTATAAACCACTTCCGAACCTTTATATGTGTCCTTGAAAAAGACTACTGACCTGATGATACCACTTAATTATGGAGAAGCTGAAATATTATCTCTGTAAGAGGTTTAAGCTTTCTTCTTATTCCGCACTAAATGCCTTCAGAGACTATATGGAGGATCATGGGTGCTGCATGCCCCCAAGATTTACACCCATTACCCCCTCCCCGCTCAGCTCGTTGTCGCCGTGTGGGGGCTTAGTGGGCGGCTGCCGGAGTGTGATGCTCCTTGGGACAGTCCTCTGTCCTTTTCTAGCCTTGTGCTCCTGCTGCCGTCCTCTCCAATTCTGCTGGGCATCTTTTCCTTTTCCTTCTGTTTCGTTTTTCTCCCCCCTCTTCTCCTATCTGCTTGCCGTTTCCTACCGACCTTTTGCTCGTTCTGGTTCTTCCCTTGGACTTCTTCTATTTTGACGCCCGGGTGCTTGAGGAGGCATACTCATGCACCCGTAGAACTGCAGTACCCGACGTCGAGAGCGAGGGGAACCTTTTATTGTCAATCCCCACTTCGTCACTGAACCCGATCTCGACGGACTGTCGGTTTCTTAAGGTGGCGTTTGTGGGGCGTATACTCGCGACGCACCCCTAGGAGGCCCCGACAAGATCGGCGATAGCTTCTTGTTGGGTGTCCTGCCTCTAATTGTGGCTCCATGGTGGGTGTGGGGGCACATTCGTGAGTGAATTCTTTCTTTCGTCAAGATGATTACCCCTGCTTCGGCTTCTTCTGGTTTACCTTCTCAGGCTCGTGGGGTGGGCGACCAAGCCCCCGAGTCGGTCCGTATTGGAAGACCGGGCTCTGTAGCCTCCGCTGCATTGGGCCCCGACCTTGCTCCTCCTTTGGCCTCTCTGACTCCTTCCTCTGGCTCCCCTCCCTCCTCTGCGGTTGGGTCGAGCCCCAAGCCCCCAGTGGTGACTACCTCGTCCCCTGGCGCGGCTCCTTCTCTAGTTGTAACTACTGCGCCTTTTAACCCCTCTCTCTCTGGGGGTTCTCACCGCCGTCTTCGTCACGGCCGCCCTCGCTCGATTCCTTCCAGTTCTGCTACCTATCAAGCCTTGTTTGGTCCCGCTTCGTGGGCCAAATATTTTGATCTCCTCCCTCTTGATTCTGCGCCTCCTGACGATTTCTCCCTCCATCGACATCTCATTGATTCCGTGGATGCCTCCATTACTTTCAACCCCACTCGTCTCGGTACACGTGTCGTTGCTGCTCCTTCTCAGGATGCTGCTTCCCGCTTGGCTGCCTTATCCTGCCTTGGCGAGACCCCCGTTCGGGTCTCGAAGAACGTTCAGTTGAATGCCAGTGTTGGCACTATTTTGCTCCCGCCCCATGTTGCGACCGGTGTTCGGGACCTGCGCGACTGCCACGACGATATTCGACATATCCTCGCTGCCCAGGGCCATTCTATTCTCCAGGTGGACACGTTTACTCGTCCCCCTCGTGGTAGTCGCCGTCAACCCCTCCGGGTTGTGAAGATTACCTTTGATGGTAGGACCCTTCCACCCTCTGTCATTCTTGCTGGTGCCAGGTGCTCTGTCCAGGAGTACATTCCTTCTCCTCGGCTCTGCAACAAGTGCTGGAGGTTTGGGCATGGTGCCCTCCGCTGCTCCGGGACTGTCTCTCTCTGTCCTTTGTGTGGTGGCGAAGGTCACTCTAAGTCGGAGTGCGCTTCTCCCCAGGCTCGTTGCCTCAACTGCGGTGAGGCCCATCCTACCTTCTCCCGTGCGTGTGTCCATTACAAGCTTGAGGCAGCCGTCCTCAACTTGAAGCACCGGGAGCGTTTATCTTTTCCTGAGGCGAGGCGCCAGGTTCGCCGGCTCCCGCCTTATGCTAATATCTCGTATGCTCGCGTGTTGCGCTCTTCCTCTCCTCGTCCTTCCCGCCTTCCTCAGACTCACAACCGTTTCCGGGCCTTGGACCCTGATGCGCCCACTGCCCCCTCCTCTGTCCCTTTGGGTTCTCTCCCGAAGGATCCTCCTCCTGGTCCTCTGTCTGGGGTTCCCCTTCCTTCTACCCGGTCTGTCGTGTCTTCTGTGTCTTCTTCCTCGTCCCCCTCCGATCCTCCTTCCCATCCTCTTCCTCCATCTATCGGCTCTCCCCGCCGCCTGTCGGTGCGGGCGGATGTCCATCGCTCTCCTAACGGCCGTCGTGTGTGCTCTCGTTCGGCTTCTCCTGTTGAGACACTGGAATCCGTTGCCCGGTACGTAGTTGCTGGGACACCGGTCTCTTTAAGTCAGAAGCGTAAGCCTGGCTCCTCTCCTTCCTCTTCCCCGGCGGGTAAGAAGGCTTCGCTTTCTTCCTCAGCTCCTCCTTCTGGCTCTGTTGCTCCTTCCCCTCCCGTTTCAGTGCTTGCGCCCCCTGTTCCTGCTATGGAGGTTTCTTTGGCCCCTGCTTCCCTTTCGGTTGCTGCTCTTGCTGGGGTGCGCTCCTCTCTTTCTACTCCCCCTCTTCCTGCTGCTGTCCTTGACTGCTCCTCTCCGTTGTCTCCCCCTCCTCCTCCTCCTCCTCCTCCTCCGGACCCTGCCCACCCACCTCTGATCTGTTCTCCCGTTTCCTTCCCTCCGTCTTTGCTCAGTTTACCCATGCCCCCTAACCCTGACTTTGTTGACCCTGATCCCGACCCTGATATTCTTTAACGTGCTCTGTTGGTCTTTCGCCTTTGTTTCTTCCTTGTTCTCTGTTTTTGTCCTTTCTCTTCTCGTCGTTGTCCATTCTTCAATGGAACGTTCGAGGTTATTACGCCAATTTCCTCGAACTCCAACTTCTGGTTTCGCGGTTTTCGCCCCTTTGTGTCTGTCTCCAGGAGCCAATGCTTGGTGCTCGTCCTGGTCGTTTTCGTGGCTATTCCTTTCTCTCCCCCCCCCCCAGCCATTGCTGGGGCTTCTAATTCTTCTGCTCTCTTGATTCTGGCTGATGTTCCCTTTGTTCCTTTACTTTTTCCTTCGCCTCTCCATTGTTCTGCTGCTCGTATCTTTGTGGGGAAATGGTACACAGTTTGTTCCATTTATCTCCCCCCGAGTGTCCCGCTCTCTCTTCCTGATTTGAAACACCTCCTAGACTCCTTGCCGGAGCCTGTGCTCCTGCTGGGTGACTTCAATTGTCGTCATTCTCTTTGGGGTGACGTTCTGACGAATACCCGGGGTCGCCTCCTTGAGCCGTTTCTCCTCTCTTCTTCCCTGTCTCTTCTGAATTCTGGTGAGCCCACTCATTTGGACTCTCGAACTCGCACCCTTTCTTGTCTTGATCTTTCTCTCTGCTCTTCTTCTCTTTACTTAGATTTCACGTGGCAGGTTCTTGATGACCTCCATGGAAGTGATCATTTCCCCATCCTTGTTTCCTTTTTCTCTTTTCGCCCTTCCCTCTCTTTCCCTAGGTGGCAGTTTGCTAAGGCGGACTGGACCCTATTTTCCCTCAGTGCTACTCTCTCTGACCTCTCCCTTCTGCCCCTCTCTCGCGCTCTCCTCCTTTTTCATGACACTGTCTTCGACGCTGCCCTCCGCTCTATTCCTCGCTCTTCCTCTCGGGGTCCACGGAAGTGCGTTCCCTGGTGGAATGCGGACTGTGCTCGGGCTGTCCGCTGTAAGCGTGCAGCCTGGAAGAAGCACCGCCGTAGGCAGACGACCGATTCTTTTCTTTTCTTTCGGAAAGCGAGTGCGGTGGCCCGTAGGGCCATCCGTACGGCTAAACGTGAATGTTGGGCATCTTATGTCTCGACAATTACGTCCGAAACCCCTCTGGCCCAGATCTGGAAGCGTATCCGCAAGATAGCGGGTAAGTTCGTTCCCGATGTTTCACCGGTCCTTCACCTCCATGATACTCTTGTGGCGGACCCGTTGCAGGTCGCTTCCGAACTGGGTTCCCACTTTTCTTCTGTTAGCTCTGGTCTTCATCTTCCCCAATCTTTCCTTCTTCGTAAACCTGTCCTTGAGTCTCGTCCTTTAGATTTCTGCACTCATCTTCAGCTTCCCTATAATGATCCCTTCTCTCTCTCTGAACTTCGTTCTGCCCTGGCCCTCTGCGGTTCTACGGCGGCGGGCTCCGATGGTATTCATTATGAGATGCTTCGCCATCTCCCTCCGAGCACGTCTCAGTATTTACTGAGTCTGTATAATCAGATCTGGGAGTCGTCGTCAGTCCCTGAGGACTGGCTCGATGCCGTTGTCCTCCCTGTTCGCAAACCGGGGTCTCTGGGTACTTCCCCTAAGGACTTTCGCCCTATTGCTCTCACAAGTTGTGTCTGCAAACTCTTTGAACGTATGGTTAACGTTCGTCTGATGTGGTTCCTGGAACACCATCACCTCCTCTCCCCTTCTCAATTTGGTTTCCGCAAGTGCCGCAACACGACAGATGTCCTGGTGAACTTGGAGGTCTATATTCGTACTGCTTTTGCTGCGAAGAACTCCGTTGTTGCCGTCCTTTTTGACCTAGAAAAGGCTTACGACACCACTTGGCGTTATCATATCCTATCTCAACTTCATTCTTTTGGCCTTCGTGGTCATCTCCCTCTCTTTCTCCGCAGCTTCCTCTCTCGTCGTTCCTTTCGGGTGCGCCTTGGTACCGCTCTCTCTCCCTCTTTTCAGCAATACGAAGGTGTGCCCCAGGGTAGTGTTCTGAGCACTACTCTTTTTCTGGTTGCCCTCAATGGTCTTCTTTCCTCTCTTCCTTCTGGTGTCTTCTCCGCTCTCTATGTCGATGATCTTACCCTTTGTTGTCAGGGTGATGATTCGCCTCTCCTTCAACGCCGGCTTCAACTTGCAATTGATGCCGTGTCGTCTTGGGCCACAGGTCATGGCTTCAAGTTCTCTACTTCTAAGACTTGTGCCATGACTTTTACGCGGAAACGGGTTGTTCTTCGTCCCTCTTTGTCACTTTATGGTCATCCCCTTGAATACAAAGATTCCGCGAAGCTTTTGGGGTTATTCCTTGACACTCGTTTGTCTTGGTCTCCCCATATCTCTTACCTCCGTGTTGAGTGCTCTAAGGCCCTTACCCTCCTTCGGGTCTTGTCCCATACTTCTTGGGGGGCAGATAGGCGCACTCTCCTTGCTTTACATTCCTCTCTCGTCCTGTCTAAGCTCGATTATGGTTGCCCTGCTTACTCGTCTGCTTCTCCTTCTACTCTTCGCCGTCTTGATGCTTTGCACCATACTGGGTTGCGCCTCAGTTCTGGTGCCTTTCGTTCGACTCCCGTCCTTAGCTTGTATGTTGACACTGGCTTCCTGTCTCTCCAGGACCGCCGTGATCGCTACTGTCTTCGCTATCTTGCGCGGTCCTTGCAGCATCCTTCCTCTCGCCTCTGTCGTGCTTTAACTTTTACCCCTCCTGCGGTTCCTGTTCCTCTTCACCACCTCCCTCTTTCTGTCCGGTTATCTCGCCTACAGGATTCTCTTTCCGTTCGTATTTCTGATGTTTCTCCTCGTGTTGTTCCTTCTTTGCCCCCGTGGAGGGTCCCTCTTCCGCGGTTTTGTACATCCTTGACTCGTACGATCACTAAAGCTTTTACCCCTCCTACGGTTCTAAAACGCCTTTTCCTCGAGCACTTTTCTTCTCACTCCCACTCCGTTTCTGTCTTCACCGATGGGTCTAAGTCAGCAGACGGTGTTGGCTACTCTGTTGTTTTTCCTGATCGCACTTATATGTGTCGCTTGCCTCCGGAGACTAGCATCTTTACAGCGGAACTTTATGCTATTCTCTATGCTCTTCGTCTCCTGCTTTCTCGTTGTCAGTCTTCCTTTGTGGTTGTTGTTGACTCTCGTAGTGCCCTCATGGCTCTCGGGTGCTTTAATCCAGTTCATCCAGTAGTTGTCGAGATCCAGCATTGGCTGTTTCTCGTTCACAGTAAATTTAAGTCGGTTGAGTTTTGTTGGGTTCCCAGCCATATTGGCGTGTCTTTAAATGAGCGTGCGGATGCTGCCGCTAAGGAAGCTGTCCGCTCTTGTCCCATCTCTCGTAAAGGCATTCCGTATTCCGACTTTTACCCGGTTATCCATTCCTCAGTCCTTACCCGTTGGCAGGCTTCTTGGTTGTCTGTTACTGGTAACAAGCTACGTACTCTTAAATGTTGTGTTTCCTCGTGGCCGTCCTCCTTCCACCGTAACCGGCGGTGGGAAACAGCTCTGGCGAGGTTGCGTATTGGCCATACTCGCTTAACCCATGGTCACTTGATGGAGCGCCGCCCTGCTCCTTATTGTCCTAGTTGCATTGTCCCTCTTACGGTCGTGCATGTCCTTCTTGAATGTCCTGACTTCCAGGACGAGCGTGTGTCTTGCTTTCCGACCGCCCCTCGCGGTCACCTGTCCCTCGATAGAATTCTTGGTGACTCGGATACTTTTGATATCGTTCGCCTTATGCGTTTTTGTTCTCGTATTGGCATCCTTGGTGATATTTAGCGCCCTCTGATTATTTTGCGTATTTGATGGTGCTACATAGCCTTCCCGGTTTGGTGCCTTCTTTTGATAATTACTTACTTACTTACACCCATTACTGAGCTGTTTACAAGTTATTCCTATTAGTACTGCTGAGTGTGAGAGAGGATTCAGTCACATGAACCTGATAATAATAATAACAACAACACTCAAGAATTCTCATAAATCATGTATCAGAACTTAAGTTTGTTAAACTACATGGACCTCCTCTAGTTCAGTGGAATCCTGAGCCATATGCCATATCATGGCTGTGGTACCACAGATTGGCAGATGAGACCAGGACAAAAGTTGCTTCACACCCCCCGAAAACATCGCTCACCTGACCCTTTGTGAAAACTATTGTGAAACTTCTCACTGGTTGTATTGTTTGAGCCCTAAGTGTTTTAACTTCCTCAATTGATAAATACATGATTGATTTCTTTTTTTATTTGTTTAATAATTATATTTGATAATTAGTGAGTACAAACACGAAATACTTAATTATGTGATATATATAGAAACAGGATAGGAAGTAGGTTTTGTCAGGTCCACCAGAGCTCCTGCACCTATAAAATTGGCTATGCACCCCTGGGAAGCACTAATTATGAGGGGGGAGAAGTAAGGTAATTATGAGGAAGAACTGGGCCAGTATGACTATAGTGCAGTGAGAAGGGAAGGAAGGAAGTTATTACCAGGGGGGAAAGTGCCAAGCCATTACAACTATATACAGTAGCATTTGGAAGGGGTCAGGATAAGGATTTGAGATGGGACAGGGGGAAAAGGAATGGTGCCCAACCGCTTGGCGCTTGGGCACCTGCATGAAGCGAGACCGTTGCTCTACCATTCAGACCATGTGGTTGGACCATTGAGAAGGGAGAGTGGAACATTATTTGAGAGAAAGGGTTGAATGGGTTAGAGAGTGTGAAATAGTGAAAGGTTTGTGTAGTTATAGAGGCTCCTGAATAAATTTTTGCTGTGACAACCTCCCAATGGGGAGTACTTTGGAGGAAGGCATTAGGACAGTAGATATGCACAATAACATAGCTTAAAAGAATAACCCAACCTAAACTTGGAAATGAAGGTTGTGTTAAAACTTTGTGAAGGACAATTAATGCATCAAGATTAAACTAGCATACACTAAAGATTAACAAATTAAAATAAGAATTTAGCTGTAGTGTTAGAATGGTTATGCATGTAATTTGTTTGGTAACAGTGGTATATGACATTCAGCACATGGTATTTAGATAATTTTTTTTAAGCATATGCCAGAGTTTAAATTTCCATTTGATTGTAAATGATTGTAAAATTTATGGAATTTCAGAGGGATGAGGATAGATTAAGAGCTTCAATGAGACGTGAAAGCAAGCAGCGTCGAGTGAGAGAAAAGGCCCCAAATCGTGGACTGTCTGCAAACTATTTGGAGCCTGACAACTATGAAGATGAGGATGAAGCTGGTATTTCTTTGGCTGCCATTAAAAACAAATTTAAGAATAAGCAAAATGGTAAATATTTAGCTCTTCATTGTATCGTAACACAATGGGAGAACTGGTCAGATTATAGAACAAATTTAGTGCATTCTTGTGAAAACATAATTCCTAAAATGAAAATTAGCATGGCTTCACCAAATTTGTACACATTCCTAATGGCAAATAATGTTGTCTCATTTACAGTTGATAGCCTCAAGAATTTTACATTCGTAAAATACTTAGCTATGTACTTACTTACCTTGAGTTCATTGCCTCGGTGGTATACTGTATACATTCTTGTGAGAATCTAGATCATTGGTTTCCACTAGTGGGTTGCGACCCCTTGGAGGGTCTTGTGAGTTTTAGAAAAAAAATGGTTGTTCTCAAAAATATTGGGAACCACAGATCTAGATCTTGGCATGTTTCATAGAAATAGTTCAATGAAGACTTTAGAAAATAGTTTATAAATAGTTTATTATAAAGTCCAGAATGCTTAGGATGTAATGATGCATAAATATAGTCCCCCAAAAAGTTTGTAACAATGATTTGTTAAATTTCAGATCGTGCTCCAATCTACTCCTCTGATGAAGAAGAATCGGACATTGAAACAGACAAGGCAAAGCGACTGGAAAGAGCTAAACATACCATTAAGGACTCTGACGACTCGCATAGTGACAGTGATAGTGACAAAGATGAGAGTGGCAGTGATCGTGCCAGCAGTAGGCAGACTTCACGGAAGAGTGGAAGTCGAAGTAGGAGTGGTAGTAGGAGCAAGAGTAGGAGCAAAAGTAGGAGCAAGAGTAGGAGCAAAAGTAGGAGCAAGAGTAGAAGCAAAAGTAGGAGCAAAAGTAGGAGCAAGAGTAGGAGTCAGAGCCGTAGCAAGAGCAGGAGCCAAAGCAGGAGCAAGAGTAGGAGTCAAAGCAGGAGCCGGAGCAGGAGCAAGAGTAAGAGTAGAAGCCCAAGTAAGAGCAAGAGTAGGAGCCGGAGCAGGAGTAGCAGTAAGAGTAGGAGTGGTAGTGATAGTGGAGGCAAATCAGGCTCAGGCTCTGATAGTGATTAAACAATGCACTATTTGCCTTACTTGAGAACGTCTAAAAGTTTTAGGGATTCCTAAGTATTGGCATTGTAATTATCTGCTTATTTGTTAATACATTTTCTTTTCCTTTAAATTAAGTATTTTTCTTTGTTCCAATAAGGAGTAAATTAGTAATGATCATGTTATATACTTTAAAAACACCCAGGACTTAATCTTTTACATTATCTTGGTAAGATTGAAGTACATTTTATGTTGAACATAATGGGATATTTCAGTTATTTTTACAATATAATTTGAAAGATTTTAACATATATCAATATCTCCTCAAAAAAAAAAAAAACAATTGCAGATCAGTTGTTTAGTGACTGCTTCACATTTAATATATAATTTGAAAGATTTTAACATATATCAATATCACCTCAAAAAAAAAAATTGGAGATCAGTTGTTTAGTGACTGCTCAGACACATTTCTGAGATTTACAGATGTGGCATTGTATGGGGATGAAGCCGGCTGTAGAGAATCTAACATGCTATTTTGTTTAGAAATTGGTGAAGTGTTTGCTTAGCATAGATATTGTAAATTGATTACATAATTATTTTTAGATTTTAATCCTTATCCAGTGATTAACATTCTGTATTAGTTTTGTACAAGTTTATCAAGATTTAATTAAATTTTGTAGAAAGTCGTCAAACTTTTAATGTTGTTTATGAGAATGTGTGTGTTCAGAAAATATTTGACTGAAAAGATTTTAAACATTTATTTCTGACGATGATGTGTGCAGAAGTATTCTGAAACACATTAACTTGTTTCATTAAATGTACATTGCAAATAATAATCTTCATTTATCATTCATATCTGCATTTAAAAATCAGGTACAGGGTCTAGTTATTTTTAAAGTTTGAGATGTATTTAAGTAAATATCTTGGAAATAATTGTGGTCACTACATTTTTATTTATTTATATACAAGAAGGTACATTGGGTTTGTGAGAATACATAGCATGGTAATTTACACTCTTGTAAAGCCACTAGTACACGTAGCGTTTCGGGCAGGTCCTTAATCTAACATAATTTGAAGTAGGTAAATTCTAGTGGAATTAATAAAATAATAACAGATACATTGCAAGAAAGAAAGAAAATGAGATGAGGGAGATTAGTAGGTATATTAAAGCACATTGGTATATTAAAGCTCTGATTGATTGCATTTCAAACCCCCCATACATTACGTCCTCCTTTGATAGCATGATAGACGGCTGACAGGCCTTAAATTGGTAATTTAAGCCAACAGCTTTATTAGTAATTTAAACAGATTAATAGCAACCCGTTCTCGCAAATTTAATAAGTCAATATTGACTTATTAAATATGTGCATAGGTGACATACTTAACATAATAGTTTCCCTTGAAAAGCTTCATAGAAAACACCGACCTTACCTAACCTACTTAGTATGTTAAGATAAGCATCTTATTGCTTCGTAATTACAATTATTACCTAACCTATGCCTATAATAGGTTAAGTAACAATTGTAATTACGAAGCTATAAGATGCTTATTTTAACATACTAAGTAGGTTAGGTAAGGTTGGTGTTTTCTATGAAGCTTTTCAAGGGAAACTATTATGTTTAGTATGTCACCTATGCACGCAACTAATAAGTCAATATTGACTTATTAAATTTGCGAGAACGGGTTGTTAATAGACACCATACAGCAAATTGAAAGTACATATAAGAAGACAGCAATGATCACAATGGTAAAGTTGTTTGGATTCGGTACATGAAGATTGGGCAGTACTAGATAAAGTGCAATTTTAAAGCAACAAGGTAGAAAACTAAGATGATGAAATTAGGTACATTTTAGTTTTGTTTTTGAATGATGCAAAAGTTGGACAGCTTTTCAATTCATTAGGGAGTGAGTTTCCATAGACTAGGTCCCTTTATTTGCATAGAGTGTTTGCACAGATTAAGTTGGACTCTGGGGATATCAAAGAGAGATTTATTTCTTGTGTGGTGATAATGGGTCCTATTACATCTGTCCAGGGTAATCAGGGAGAGTTTCAGAGCAGGATTTGCATTTAAGAATAGGGTTTTGTAAATGTAGTTGACACAAGAAAATGTGTGGAGTGAGATTGTTTAGCATGTTTAGGGAGTTAAACAAGGGGGCTGAGTGCTGTCTGAAAGCAGAATTTGTTATTCTGATAGCAGATTTTTGCTGGGTGATGATGGACCTGGACCTGAGGTGGTTTGCAGTGGTTGAACCCCATGCACAGATACCATAATTAAGATAGGTAAGATTAGTGCATAATATAGTGAGATGAGAGCAGAGTTAGGTACATAATATCTGATTTTTGAGAGTATACCAACTGTTTTAGAGACTTTCATAGTTATGTTTTGTATGTGGGTGCTGAAGTTGAGTCTCTTGTCTAGGAATAGGCCAAGAAACTTTCCATCATTTTTACTACTAATGTTAACATTGTCCATCTGAAGCTGAATTGCATTTGTTGATTTGCTTCCAAATAAGATGTAGTAGGTCTTTTCTATGTTAAGTGTTTGTTGGTTGACACCCATAAGTGGACTTTTTTTAGTTCATTATTAACAACATTATTTAGTGTATGTGGGTTGGGGTTAAAGTAGATGTGGGTAGTATCATCAGCAAACAAAGTAGGCACTTACATTTTTATGGACTTTGGTTCCTGTGCCTACCATGATTCACATCTGTTAAGGATAGGAATAATTTTCATGATCTCTCAATGAAAATATTAAAAGCAGGCAAAAAGCATTGGCTCTTACGCTTTATGATACTGTGATGGAAGATCTACAGCCGTGTCTTGAAAGACTGCTTAAATCTATCCAGTTAATTTTCCGAAGCACAGAATTCTTTGGAGTCGATGCTCAATAGTTTTTTAATGTATTTCTAGCCAATGACCAGCATGCTGAAGGTAAGGTAATTTTGAGAAGAAAATACTAAGCCAATATGAAATACTAGTATAGCATTGTTGTAGATCAGAGGAAATATTTTCTATGAATATGCGACAAGAAAAATTCTGGACTTCTTCAAAGCTTAGGACAAAAGTGGTGATTAATGGGATGTTTTTGTAAATATTGTTTGTAGTCTAGTGTGGGAGTTGACGTTAAACATTTTTTTTTTTAGAAAAGTATGTTGTAAATATGTATTTCACAAAATGCAAAAAAGAACAAAATAAACTGTAAATATCCCAGGGGCTTTTACTTTATTCATTGGGAGAATACACAATGGGTATGCTGTACAGGACAATGAGAGTAAAGAGTCATTTTCAAGGAATATAGGTTTATGTATTGTCAGCTGGCTATTCTAAATGTGAATCATTAAATTAATATGTGCCTATTGTCTGTTTTGCTGCTGCACTTTTTTGTACTGCGCAGTCAATTTTGGATTGATATGGTGCTAAAAAATAATTTTGGGGGAATTTTTTCATTTCATTTTAGAAAACTCGACTGGATTTCTTAAGCATTTATGCAACCTCTTGTGATGGTTGTCTCATCACGGTGGCTTTGCTTATATTGATGAAAGCGTTTGAGCTTGGAAACTTGATAGCCTTGGTCATTATTGTAAAATGAGCCCTCTACAATTTGAGCCCTTTAAAATGAGCTACACAATTTATAAACTGTAGGAACCATAAACAAAGCTGCAGTTATTAAGGAAAGATGTACAGGTTTCATAAGGGAATGAGGAAATGCATGACGAATCTTGACTTGGGTTTTCCTATAGTCCCAGTACTGTAACTTCGATATTAGGCCATAATTATTCCCAAGACACCATCATATATGTAACCTTTAAGCATGCCATATTGCCAAAAGAAAAAAAAATGTAACGGTGAAAAAGTAGTGTTCATACTGTGTAAAAATTAAAATGATATTTTTTTTAATTATAAAGAAAGTCTTCTTCATCTTTATTATACATGTACATAATATAATACGTATAAATAATATAAAATATACGAAACAATTCATTTTTCCAATGCATAGAATAGTTTATATACTGTACTATCAATATGTAAACTCTGCATTTAATTTTATGTACTGAATATTTATTTGTCATTTTTTTCATATTTACTATTAATCATTATATTACTGATAATGTGAACGAGTCCTGAACATGGAAGAATATTTATATTTACAGGAAAAAAAAAAAGCTGTCTTCATCCTTGTAAATACTGTATACTCAAAATGCTCGATTACTGTTATTAAATGCTGTACATGATATTAAATTATATTTTCCATTGATACCGACTGAGTTTCAGAGGAATAAATTATAGGAGTAAATGTATAAAAAAATAAAATATTCAGTATGCCTTCAAGACCTGTAGGAAATGCACACAAATCCAGAACGATCTCACCAACGATGAAGGACCTTACTGACACCGGAGCACAGTGCTGCCATAGCCATGTCTCAACACACCAGCCAAGCTTTTCTTTAAGATTTAGAAAATTTGATTATTTTAGGTTTTTATTTTACCTGTGTGTGAGAGAGAGAGAGAGAGACTGAGACGGGTAGTGCAGGTTCACAAACAAGTTGGGTTGCCAACTAAATTGTTCTCCAAGTTGTATTCCCTGTAGATATAATGTTGTAGTTAAAATCTAACTTATGTTTTCCTTGAGTTACATTTCTAATAAAATGCTATTCAGTATCTTTCCTTACAATTCTTTTAAAGCTAAATTAGAGATTTGTTTTAATGATAATTTTTTATATTTGTGATAATTCTCTTTGGCATCGTTTTTGGTTTGGTACAGAGTTGGCCATATTTTCTGTAAGATAATGTAGATTTAGTTTAGTGTTAATAAATTAAAAATAATGTTAATAAAAATTATAATGTAAATGCAAAGGTTATTAAAATAAATTCAAGTACCATTCCCTGATAGAAAATATGGAACCATTAACTTAGTACCAAGGCAAATGCATTTCTAAATCAAATATAATTAAAACATACAATTACAAACAGAATCTTAAGGTAACTTCTGTTTGAAGTTATCCAGGTAACTTAAATCCCAATTAATAAACGACTTTATATACCAATGTGCAAGTGATTTCCACACTCTTACCTTAATAAGGTATGTGAATGAATGGAGGACAGGACTGAAGAACAAGTGGTGTACTCACCTATTTGTGCTTGCGGGGGTTGAGCTTTGGCTCTTTGGTCCCGCCTCTCAACTGTCAATCAACTGGTGTACAGATTCCTGAGCCTTCTGGGCTCTTATCATATGTGTGTGTAGTGAAAGATGTCCTGGTAGCCATCACCATCCACAGTATCAATAGAAAGTAAGATTGTGAATTTTTTACATTAAGATATTACAAAATCCGCCAGGTACACGGTGCTTGGAAGCGGCACCAAGAGCTAGACCTCACTCCCCATAGACACTGGTATGTAAGCTAAACACCACTGTATAGCCACCACTACTACCACATGCTCCTACCACTACTGTCACATCCCTTCACTACCACATGCTCCCACTACCAGTGTCACACTACCACATGCTCCCACCATCAGTGTCATATCCCTTCACTACCACATGCTCCCACCATCAGTGTCACATCCCTTCACTATCACATACTCCCACCACCACTGTCATACTACCACATGCTCCCACTATCAGTGTCATATCCCTTCACTACCACATGCTCCCACCACCAGTGTCACACTACCACATGCTCCCACCACCAGTGTCACACTACCACATGCTCCCACCATCAGTGTCACATCCCTTCACTACCACATGCTCCCACCACCGGTGTCACATCCCTTCACTACCACATGCTCCCACTACCAGTGTCACATCCCTTCACTACCACATACTACCACCACCACTGCCACATCCCTTCACCACCACATGCTCCCACCACCACTGCCACATCCCTTCACCACCACTGTCACATCCCTTCACCACCACATGCTCCCACCACCACTGCCACATCCCTTCACCACCAGTCACATCCCTTCACCACCACTGTCACATCCCCTCACTACCACTACTACTCACGGGGCCGGTGGCTGAGTGGACAGCACGCTTGATACGTAGTCATGTGGACCGGGGTTCGATTCCCGTGGCTGGCAGAAACAAATGGGCAGAGCTTTCGCCCTGATGCCCCTGTTACCTAGCAGTAAATAGGGGAGTTAGACAGCTGTTACGGGCTGCTTCCTGGGTGTGGGTTTGTGTGTGTGTGATTTTTTTTTTAGCAGTTAGTATCAGTTGATTGATTGACAGTAGAGAGGCGGGCCGAAAGAGCGGTGAATACATGCTACCACCACTACTGTCATCCCTTCACTACCACCACCACTGTCACAGTTCACCTTTGTAAACGCACATTAATGACATTATGTAACAAGATACATGGAACACTTTATGTAGGGCAGACGTAAATCTGTGTATTTATGTATGTAGGTTAGATTAGCATTTTAAAAGCACTACAATCACCTTTTGTGGTTCAATAAATCACTAAACTATATGTTTAATAGATCTCTAACCCAGTCCATGGAGGACAAGAAAATGTATATATTCTGATTATCATTGTAAATGTGTAAAAATAATAATAGTAATAGAAAATTAATAGAAACTAATAATAATAAAACACCTTCAATGCCACAACGCACCACCTGTGGCACACGATGATACAGATTTATATAAACTAATCTGCGGCCTTCATAAGCCTAGCACTGGACAAATACCTAACGTAAAATAAATACCTAAGTAAAATAAATTTATTTTGTAGGAAATATGAAATACCGCGTTTTTGTACACCGTAAAATATATTGTCGTACAGCATAATCATATGCAATTTGTACGTGTTATGAATAACGACAGTTTCAGAAAATATAATTAATACTCATTTATATTATGGTTTTGTGTATAGTTAGGTCTAGCTAGAGTTGGCGTTTTGGTTCAGTTAGCAAATAATATAAATATATTTTATATAGTTTAGGCTACGTGGGTGAACTAATTACAGAGGCTTCGAACATGGAAAGTGGAGGGAACACTTCTCAATAAAAGTTTGACTGTAATCAGTTATTATATGTAAAATACGTCTTTTAAGTTATATATAGGCTGGCATATTGAAGGATGAGCTGGAAAAATTCAAGTGTCACATGAAACTAAGGCTTTGAGTCACCATTATTATCCAGTTCGTATATAAAATTCTTGTTTAGGTGAAATAAGAATTCACTTATTTAACACATTTTAATAAATAATGGTTATTCGAAGCTTCATAAAGGGTACAAGTGAAACTTTGAGTCGCTTCAATCTCGGGGCTCAGTGGCGGTGACCCATTCTTGTCGGTCTTGTTGAGAGCGTCGGTGGTGTCTGTGCGTCGGTACGTGACGTCTGTGCGTCGGTACGCGACGTCTGTGCGTCATTACTCACCAACTTGCTCGCTAAAGTACTCTTGTGTGATGGTGTCGAGTTGATGACATATGGTTTATGGAGCGGCTAGTTTGGTGACAATATTATGGAGGTGGTGCCAGCCATTGTGGACCTTCCCGCCCGCCACGCTGGCCGCACGTCAGGTAAGTCGCCATAACCTTATAGCCAATATTCTCTGTGATGCTGACTTACTGCACGGGGCTCCACTCACTCACCTCACTCACAAGCCCGCTCACCACACTCACAAGCCCACTCATTGGCTCACAAGCCCACTCACTGGCTCACAAGCCCACTCACTGGCTCACAAGCCCACTCACTGGCTCACAAGCCTATTCACTGGCTCACGAGCCCGCTCATAATCCCACTCACTCGCTCACAAGCCCACTCACTCGCTCACAAGCCCACTCACTCGCTCACAAGCCCACTCACTGGCTCACAAGCCCACTCACTGGCTCACAAGCCCACTCACTGGCTCACAAGCCCACTCACTGGCTCACAAGCCCACTCACTGGCTCACAAGCCCACTCACTCGCTCACAAGCCCACTCACTCGCTCACAAGCCCACTCACTGGCTCACAAGCCCACTCACTGGCTCACAAGCCCACTCACTCGCTCACAAGCCCACTCACTCGCTCACAAGCCCACTTACTCGCTCACCACTCTCACTCACATTCTCGCTCAATACTTCACCGTTGTGATCGCCGTCTATAATTCTAGCCTCACCCTCATCAAGAGTCATTTATTCCCACCTTTGAGGCACTAGACGGCCCAGAGTATGTTTTAAGTTATAAAGGAAATTGCAGGAAGCACTCTTTTGAGGTATATTTAGTTTTAATGACTTGCTAAAGGGGGGAAAAGGCTCCAACAAAGTGGCGTCCAGGAACAGGGAAGGAGACGAGATTTCAGCCGAGGCGGTGACATAAGGGAACCGCCAGGCAATAAGAGGTACGAGTTGAAGTGTCAAGCCCGCGGGCGCTGGCACGCCAGGAAAATATCGTCAGTTTCACAGTTCATGTGGCAAGTTTAGCCTACCGAAGAAGAGGCTTGTTGTTAACAGGACAACCGGTTAACAGGAACCCAGGTGAGTGCAGTGGCTATTAACGTTTTTTTTTGCCTAAGAACAAGGCTAGTGAGTGCTGCGATTATTGTATCTGCTAATCCGAAAAGACGTTAATCTTCAGTGACACTACGTGAGATAAATGTTGGTTAATACCAATAAAGGAAGTGGTCGTGGAATCCCAAGCCGAGGTAATGTGGTAGTGTAGGGGACACTAATCATTCAGCCCGTCCTCCTATGGTTTTCCTACGTCAAGAAAACGGTCAAATTAAATTGTCCTCTCCTAACCTACCAGAGGACCCAAAACAGAAAACAGGACAGTACGTCACTTTCGCGATCCGCTTCCTTTTTCTATTTCGACAATTTTTGGCCTTATCTAACGCATACGTGAGAAATACGACGTTCTTTGTAAGAGGGGCAGGTTGATTCATAGACTACCGAGGAAGGTGCAAGTCCCACGGAGTGACGAACTCTTATGGGAATACCGTACTATTAGAGGCGTTGGAGCACCCCGACGACATGACCCTTATTATTCTCGAAGGAGCGAGGCTGATCAGAAGACTTCATTGGAGAGGAGCCATACAGATCACGTATAGTGAGTGATCTACAACAACATCGAGGCTGTTTCTAGTTAAGAAAACTTCCCTCCTAATTTCCCCATGTTGGTTAGAGATTCCTTTAGGGAACAATTAGAATATTTGTTTACACGATGCATGTGATAGGATGCGCTTAAAGTAATATTATAGGTCTGAGAGTATTTATATTATACTGTGGAGTGACAGTAAAGAAGTTATTCAATGAAGAGTAGCCTAGCGTTGTCGAGTGATTATTTAATACTGAATGTTTTGTGGTAAAGTTTAATTATGAATTTAATTCCTTGTGAGACAAATTAATGTGTTAAAGTAACAGCATAGCTATCTGATTTGGTTGAGTAAAGCAACGTTGATTTGCTGAGGGCCGAGAGTGGCCGTTTAGTTTTTATATTGGATGAGGCTAGCATGGGACTGTTATTATTTTGAATGTTTATACTTTTCTCGGTAAATGTTTTTTTATTAATTTGAAACAGTGTGTTTTCGCTCTGCACCTATTTAATCTATGCCATCCATGCCTTGACCTATATGGAAGCTCTAAATAGTAATACATTAATCACAGAGTGAAGAAGATTTATGATTGAAGATATTAGATATCGTAGCCTCATAAATTGCACGAAAGCTACCTTAGGAGAATTTGATGTTAGAGAAGTCATGCTACTGACACTGGCCCTTGGCACTGGACGTGGAGATGACTACTGCGATAATTTTGTGGAATAGCAGTGTGATCTGGTGGACGTGACTGTTATGGGTGCTCACCTTCTAAACACATCACGTCCTATCTTTCCATCCACCGGGGAACAGTGTGGACGCCTGGAGTGTTCCCAGTGCAGTTGCTATGAGTCCTTGTGTTTCTCTGGTGTACATAGGGGTTTTAAGTGATGACTTTGATACGGGGACTAGAGGAGCGTGTGGAAGAGAAGCCCCCCTTCTCTCTTGCCTCTCCCCCCCCCTCCCCGTCCGTAACAAGAGAAATTGGGGCATCGTTAGGGAGCAACCACCCATATTCAACACATTCTCCTGTTCAGAATTTAGTTTTTGTAACTATGTGCACCATTGTACATAGATTAACGTTCTAAGCAATTAGATAGTAGAGCTTTGTCCTATTCACTTTATAGTCGGAAAAAATGAAGCTATAAACAAACTTAAATATTCCTAGGCCTAGTATAGCACACATATGTACTACATTAAGCCTCAGATATCGTGTATTAGGCTTAGGAAAGTTAGGGTTAGTTTAGTTTATCTTTCCAACATAAGTAGAAAATAGTTTTCCGGCTATTAATAGCCATTATTTAGTTTTCGTAATGGCTTGGCGCTTTCCCCCTGGTAGTTCCCTTCCTTTCTCGCTCACTAGTCACACTCACTCACTAACTCATCCGCACTCTCACTACTTCACTCTCACTCGCTCACTATCTCATCCACACTCACTAGTTCACTCACACTCGCTCACTATCTCATCCACACTCACTAGTTCACTCACACTCACTCACTATCTCATCCACACTCACTAGTTCACTCACACTCGCTCACTATCTCATCCACACTCACTAGTTCACTCACACTCACTCACTATCTCATCCACACTCACTCACTATCTCATCCACACTCACTAGTTCACTCACACTCGCTCACTCGCTCACCACGCTTCCTGTCTTGTTTGTTTCGTCCCAATTAAGTAAAATAGATTTCACCAGATTTTTTTCGTAAAGTCCAGATCCTCGAATTTGAGACGCAAATACTTGTGAAAGTGAAGGTGGCGGCCGGTGATTGTGAGAGTGAAGCCGGCGGCCGGTGATTGTGAGGAAAGTGAAGGCGGCGGCCGGTGATTGTGAGGAAAGTGAAGGCGGCGGCCGGTGATTGTGAGGAGAGTGAAGGCGGCGGCCGGTGATTGTGAGGAGAGTGAAGGTGGCGGCCGGTGATTGTGAGGAGAGTGAAGGCGGCGGCCGGTGATTGTGAGGAGAGTGAAGGCGGCGGCTGGTGATTGTGAGGAGAGTGAAGGCGGCGGCCGGTGATTGTGAGGAAGGTGAAAGTGGCGGCCGGTGATTGTGAGGAGAGTGAAGGCGGCGGCCGGTGATTGTGAGGAGAGTGAAGGCGGCGGCCGATGATTGTGAGGAAGGTGAAAGTGGCGGCCGGTGATTGTGAGGAGAGTGAAGGTGGCGGCCAGCGATTGTGAGGAGAGTGAAGGTGGCGGCCGGTGATTGTGAGGAGAGTGAAGGTGGCGGCCGGTGATTGTGAGGAGAGTGAAGGTGGCGGCCGGTGATTGTGAGGAGAGTGAAGGTGGCGGCCGGTGATTGTGAGGAGAGTGAAGGTGGCGGCCGGTGATTGTGAGGAGAGTGAAGGCGGCGGCCGGTGATTGTGAGGAAGGTGAAAGTGGCGGCTGGTGATTGTGAGGAGAGTGAAGGTGGCGGCCAGTGATTGTGAGGAGAGTGAAGGTGGCGGCCAGTGATTGTGAGGAGAGTGAAGGTGGCGGCCGGTGATTGTGAGATAGTCATTCTTATCGACACGATGGTGTGTCGACTTCATAGTTACTCCCCAACCAGGATTCGAACCCAGGCTAAATCGCTCGCGATTGTGTTACCACTGCGCAGCGCGTCCTCGTAAACGAAGGCCAAAGTCCATTCCATCCACCCGCCAAACCCTTTATTTATAAATGAAAAACGGTTTACACACGACTCCCAACTGATGACGTCCGAACACTTCCGGAACAAGTGCTTCGCTGACTACTTTTGTTCGAACCACAACGCTGTAAATGCTTAATCCACGTACCACAAATACAAATAATCGCCAACAGAACCTAAACACCTAACCTAACTGGTGCCTAAATATGCACAATATGCTAATATATAACAATATTAATTATATATTTGAGAAACTTCTAATTTGAATGAACAACATGCTAAAATTGATGAATGTGTGTTTGGGGTCGACCGCTGGATGGAATGGACTTTTTTTCTGGACGGGGTGTACTGCGCCACTGGTTATGATAATTATGCTTATCCAGATTATAATCTAATCCGGTTTTCAGAGCCTGAATGGAAATACAGAGATGGCAACTGAAAAAATTATGAATTTGCGACACTCACTGGAAAACTTTGTACTCTGAGGACAAGTTTAATCACTGAAAGTTTCTGTTTAAGCCAAAATCCTTGAAAGCCTCCCTATAGGGGTTCTCCTTTTGTAGGTTCTCCTCTATGGGGTTCTCCCTCTGTAGGTTCCCTTCTTATGGGGTGTCCAACCACTTGGGCTGGACGGTAGAGCGACGGTCTCGCTTCATGCAGGTCGGCGTTCAATCCCTGACCGTCCAAGTGGTTGGGCACCATTCCTTCCCCCCGTCCTATCCCAAATCCTTATCCTGACCCTTTCCAAGTGCTTTATAGTTGGTCCCTCTGTAGGTTCCCTCTATGGGGTTCTCCCTCTGTAGGTTCCCTCTATGGGGTTCTCCCTCTGTAGGTTCCCTCTATGGGGTTCTCCCTCTGTAGGTTCCCTCTATGGGGTTCTCCCTCTGTAGGTTCCCCTCTATGGGGGTTCTCCCTCTGTAGGTTCCCTCTATGGGGTTCTCCCTCTGTA